ATTTTTGTTATGATATTGTGCAATATAAATCTGATAGAAGGCAATCGTACTTATTTGCTGCCATTTGAACTTTTAAGAAGACTAGAAGTGGGAAGTGGGAAGTTCTTTGATATACAGATTGAATTTTTCGGTTGATAAATAAAAGTCCTAATGAAATAAATTTTCCAAAATTATAGAATTCAAAATAAAGATTATACATTTTGAAAAAATAGGCGGAAGTGGATTAAAAAACAGTTATATTCATATAATATAGTTTATATGTTAGGGCATTTCCATCATATATCTTTCTAAATCCATATTTCCAATAATTCTGCTTAAATTTCAAAATTCTTGCTATTCACATTAATTCAAATTTATAATTTTCATCTTTGTATTAACTTAATCTGTTACAGCATCTATGTTACTATTATGTTCGACCTAAAATTGTTTGTATGTTCCATTTTAATTTATTTTAAACCACGAGATTTATTGAAATCCTACAATGGCTAGTATACCAGATATGATTCAGAAGGAAATACAGTTGATTGATCTAAACATGTTTGATTTATGCCAGCTTAAAGAAATTTCAGATGAAAGTGCGATCAATGTTATTGAAAGCTTAAGAATAAGGAATCAACGCGTCATTGATTTTTTTGCAAATATGTGTGATGGTGGATCAGGTGAACGTTTACATCATTAAACTAATTTTGCTAAACCAATTATTTAAGTATTTTATAGCATTACATAATGAAAATTTAGAAATGCCGTATTTTAACTTTGAAAATTAGCATCGAAATATCATAAAAGTCGAATAAATGAGCACAACCTCCCATCTTATATGCAAAAACGGAACAGTTCACAGTATGCCTTTAATTTTCATTCCATTTTGCCTAGTCCACGATGCGTCAGATGTCGTGAAGACTACATTAAAGAAAAAAAGGAACGAGAGCTTGCGGAATTGAAAGAAATCAGCAAATCCGCTCAATTCAAGGCCAAACCTCCACCATCATATATTTATGTTGAAAATCACAAGATGAGACGTTACTGATATGAGTAAAAAGAAGTTTTGAGTTTAATTGTTATATTATTTGTTTTAAATAATTGTGAACAGAGATATACTCGATCAATAAAGCAATAAGTTCATAATTATTTGATGATTAGTAAAGCAGAAAATTCGGATAGTGGTACAAGAAATTATAGTTTGCTAAACTTTACTATTTAAAAATAGAAAAAAATTAGATAGATTAAGTTTATCATTTTTCGTTTGATCACTTGCCCTTTATCCCTTTCTCTATTCCAGTTGCTTTCTTGCAGTAAAAGTTATAAATTTTATTAATGCCGTATAATAATTTACATTAGTGCATCATTGTCTTGAATTTTTATTAGTGACTCAAACTAAAAGACAGCATTTTCTTCCAGGCTAACTTTAATAAACGTGTTTAATTGAAAAATGATCTTACAGCGGACCATTTCTCCTTCAACCTCTAAATTTCTCTCATTTTCTCTTTCTATTCTCTCTGTGGGACACGTCATCGCATGCCTGAACGCCAGAATTGGGAGGTGGGACCGTACAAACAGTGACCAATTATTAACCTCGGTTTGTTTGACCTAATCCGCCATCATTATCATGATTAAGCTCCCTGCGTGTACACTTTATCCGCAATACTCGTACTGAATAAACGTGCTCCGTGCTATACGTCTGTTTGCCTTAGAGCTGGGCTATAGATTAGCTGATTCTGGGAGTCTAGCTAGATGTTGCAGAATCTGCCATAGAGATTTCTGAGTCGGTCAGGCTTTACTAAGGTAGCAATCCGCTACATCCTCCAACTTAGAAAAAAACATATCCATGTGTGGATATTAGAATTTTTGTTAAATTGAAATAGCCTGGAAACTTGTACAAATGCAAGTATTGAGCAAAATGAGGTTATTTTTATAAATCTTCGTTTAAGTTACCAATACCACACTCTAAGTAACCTTGATAACAGAAAATGACCAATTTTTAAAATTGTGAATTCCTCATATTTTGCCCTGGGTGTTCATTTTAGGAAGTTGTAGCGGGTTGCTACCTTAGTAAAGCCTGACCTACTCAGAAATCTCTATGGCAGATTCTCCAACATCTAGCTAGACTGCCAGGACCACCTAAGCTATAGCCCAGCTATAAGGGAAACAGACGTGTAGCACGGAGCACGTTTATTCAGTACGGGTATTGCGGATCAAATGTGTACGCAGGGAGCCACTCATGATCAGGATGGGGGATTAGGTTAAACAGAGGTTAATGATTATTCACTGTTTGTAGGGTCGCTGCACACAGAGGTGTACGGCGCAAGCAGACATGCAGGCATACGATGACGCACACAGCGATAACGTGTCCCACAAAGGTAAGTGAACAAATCATACATTCCTATATTAATTTAACTTTAACTACCAACTTAGATTATTATCCATGTTTAAATAGGATATTAGACTAAACTGTCAGAGTCTGTATTATCTGATGGAATATTTGAGGGCAACTTTTGTGCTTCTTTCGCTTTACTCTTTCCAGTTTCCGATCTTGCGGTCCAACCATTTTGTTTTTCACAAGACCAACCCATAACAAGCCTTGTTTTGTCGGCATTAGAAATGCAACTCGTTTTTTTAAAATAGGCAACTTTGAAACATCTTTAGAAATTTTATAGTACCCAGTTTTGCAAAAAATAAGTGCTTATGTAGATTTTGAATAACTGTGTTAAAACTTACGCACTTATTATCAGCAATAAGTATTAGATCAAAAAGTCATGTTTTTTTGTTATTGGGAAAGATATTTAACTTAGTCGAAATTATCTGTCAATTATGATGTGGTTTGGCTGCCACTTGCACATATTAGTTAACTACCCGTAGTTGAGTAAAAACGTAAAAAATTGGCTTCCCGAGTTTCTAAACTTATTCCTTCTTTACATTCCATATTGAAATCTTAACACAATGGCATCAATAAGTACCAAAGTTTCTTAAAGTATTTCTTGTTTATAATGGGATAAGCGCGAAAATTTGCATCGAATTTTGCTCCATAGCATTCTTTAAGGCAAATAAAATGACAATTCTTCCTCATAATATATCTTTCTTTCGGATTTATTTAAAAATCGAATTTAATGCAGGAGATGTTTGGATATATCCCATCAGAGCCTTTCATAAAGTTTTCACTGTTTCTCATATTACAATAAGCTATCGGTCGTGTGGTTACCTCGGTGACGGGGAAAAATTACGCCAGCAATCTCGTCAGCCCGCTTGGTTACAATTGAAGCTTTTAGATTTGTCCAATTAGATTTTCCCATGCCTAAAGTGAGGAGTGCATTTTTTGAAAATAACCGCCTTTTCTCACTTGTGTGCTCTTTAATATTTTCCTTTAAATTTTATTTTCAGATTATGTATGGGCTTTTATGTTACTTCATTTCCTATTGTCTTATATATTAAGATTGCATGACTGTACCCATCATTCCATCTCGTATTTCACTAATTTCTCTTCATTCAATTTCAATTTTTCCTTCTCATTTAAATAAAACCTATAGAGTATTGAAGTATTGTATTTTTAACACATAAGTAGACTTGTGCTTACGTGCAGCCCATTAACCAACCACTAACTAGATCCAATAAAGCTTAAGGTCGCTTGAAGGATATTTTTCGTGCTTTGGTAGAGAGTCTAAAATAATATTCTAAAGAGCAAATACTTACATAAACTATGCTTAGTATACTACTAATTAATGATTATTTGAGAACAATTGAGATTGAGTTGGGTCAGATAAAGCTACCATCTTTCTCTAAATCTCCCAACTTATACATGAATTCTCATTATTATTTCTCAACCAGGCAAATCTGTCGATGATATTTCAATTAATAGCGATATCAATATGACTGACATTCAAATTTTGCCAACTTTTACATTTATACGGGGTCCTGGAACAACTAGACTTTCGCCCTATTTAGGCTCGCAACCAGATCAACTTTAGAATAATGGACACATGGATATTGGGGAAATGACTCAAACCAACGCATTGCAACAATTCAAAAGTAATTTTGATGTCAAATAACATTTGAAAGCCGTAGAAACCTTAAGTCGTCAGATAGTTCATTCAGGAACGTACTTTAAATTTAATTATAATGGTTAGAAATGTTAGCATATTCAATAGCACATACAAAATTAGAATCGAAACTGACTTTTTGGGTTATGCGTATAGGAACAAATTAAAGTTGAAATAAATAAATTATTTCCTTACCAAAATGAAATTTGCAATTTTTATTTCAGATAAGGACCGATATGTTAATAAAAAGAAAGGCGTCTCTAAAATTTGTACTATATAACGAATAATAATATGATTGAAGAAAAGTTCCATCAAGATTCAAATATCATGCATAGACAAATTAAACATACAATGCTATTATAATAAGTTTTAAGAATAAGAAAAGATTTTCTATTGGAGCAGACATTGCGAGGGATGTAAAGCCGACTGACCTTGAGCCCAATAACACAAATTCTAATGTACACTAACGTGTCTGCTAGGGTTTCTTCTTTACTAAATACAGCTTGCGTTTCAAATATCCGTAATGTGGATTCATTTTATTGACTTTTAGATACGAGCGCAACTTTATATGGATTTTGGTACACAAAACTGCATAAAACAAAGCGGCCAAAAACTCCTAGAAAAAATCCTCCGGTCTTTGATTTTGATTGTAAGCTATCTTTATATTTATTGTAATCTCAAGGGGAACACAAGCGGTTCCATAGGATGGATGCCAATAAAATCATAAGTGAAATTGAGAGGCTTCCAGAATATAAAATGTAGTTTTTTAAATTCGTTTCACGCCCTTTATATAAAGGCTAACCGAAGAACAAAAGAAGATTTTTACCTACGGATGTAATCCTCTATCAACGGACTACTATCATCAATTGAGAGAATTCATGGCATCCTATGGTCAACACCCTACAGATGATAGTCTACTTGCTAGAAGTAATGAAATGCTTTAAATTTACCAATCCCCAAGCTTTACACATGTCTTTTAGAATTCAATACAATAAGCATCTGCTGGAAAAGTTCCCCAGGGTATGGAATACAATAAATTAATTTCTCCTTTAGACTTCCACACTTCGTGGTGCTACGGAATCTCTGGTTCAACGAAGAATGCGACTTTTGCGCCGATTACGAGCGCTAAATAAGGAGGATTATCAAAAAGCTTTGGAAGCGCTTAACCTTGACAATGTCCGACATCTTAACCCTTTCGATTTCGGCGATAGTTCAGAAGCTGACGCGAGGAAGAAAAATGTTCGGGCAGAATGCTATCAAGTAACCCAATATTTTCGAATTAACGTAAAACCGTCTAGCAAAGACTTGCGCGATTAGCAAGATTTAAAAAGGACTTAGCTGCAACCAGGGACGAATTTTTCGAAAACAAAGAAAAGGACCTCTCCGAATTGGTTGAAAAGGTGTCAAGTCTTGGACTAGAAAAGCCAGATGCTGAGGTTAAACTCCGAGATCTCTTCGATATTGTCATGAAAGAGCGCCAAGTTGAGGCCCTATCACCTACCCAGGTTGACAAGCTGCAATGGTATGCGAAAGAGAGAGTTCTTCGGCGCCATGTTGCCAACTCAATACTTGAAAGGGAAGCCCAACAGTTACGAGCAAGAAGAAAGTAGTTTTTTTACTCAATTTTATAATAACAAAAAGCTATGTACAATGTCAAAATGCCTTCTATCTTTGAATATAAAAGGATGTAATAAAACGAATTATATCGTTAAGCTACTCAGTTTTCTGGTCGCTTCGGTGGGGGGCCACATGGTTGAAGCATTCTTTCCATGAGATTGAATCGAATTCGTGCTTTGGATTCGTTCTCACATATGGCTATATGGTTTAAAACGTCAAAGTGTCCCATGTAAGATGCGCATGAATCACGGTGTTGGTTTGTTAGCCACTCCCACTTTATCGTATCGGCATGACCAGTACCTACGAAAATATTTTAAGTAAAATTTTGAATTACCAACATATTTTGATTGTAGATGTTCAAGCTGTGTATGTATATTATAACGGTCGCCCATCTTAGGCAATCGAATCAAACTTTTTATTTGTTAAATGCGCCCAAACAGAAACCAGTTTAAAGTATTTCGATCTTCGAATTAAAATAGTTCTAAGTAAAATAAATCTTCCCGCATCGTATTTTTTTGAATTAAATTTATTTTGCTCCTTAATGTTTCTATTTCTATACTTGATTTTATTCATTGCAAATTTATGAGATGCTGTGAAAGATTAATGAATTAAGAAAACTTTCTATTAAGTTTTAAATTTGGTTCTTTAGTTGCATGAAAAATTGCTATTTTGGGCGTTTTTATACGGTGCAATTTAGGTTTATAGCATTCTTTGTTAGGGTTATTTGATAAATTCAAATGCTGACGAGCCGCGCCTTTAGCCAGTATTCGGAAAGCACGCAAATAATGTGAATGGCCTAAGTATTTTAATGAAATTAACTTTTTTAATTACAAAGTATGAATTAAAAGTGCTGACTTCTTATTGATGTTCATGGAATAAAATTTGAATGCTTTGTCATGAACGGTTTCTGTATTCGAAATAATTTTTCAATTTAGTTTTGGTTATCGTATATACTGACTTTTAAATCTAACCAAGAATGACCCTATGCGCTAATCTCATGATCTCTTCGAATGATCAGAACAATCATAAGAACCTTCCATTTACAGAACCTTTTCCATATCAATAAGGTGTGAAATTATTTCAGTGGAGTATTGGGCTTAGAGATAAAATTTGTAGTAAAAAATCCCTATGGTTCCAAAGATAAAATAATTCGTGATATTTTATTGGTCATATTAAACCTAACATGCAATATTTAACAATAACTGTGGGTAAAAATTTTCTCAAACGATAAACCTGTATGCCTATTTATTAAAAGAAGTTTGCAAAGCAAAACAAATGAAAGAAAAAAGAGTTTTTAGAATCAAGATCTCTCTATTGTATAGTACGAAGACAGTGTTATCAGGTTTCCTTAGTTGCCTTCAGTTTTTCTTCGAATCGAAATGGGCAAAGGAGTGTTTTAAGAAGGATGTATTAAAGTTTTTCAAAATGTTAAGATGGCACAAATTCAAATATTCTTACATCTAGTCGTATGGTTTGGTCAATTGTGTCATGATTAGGGATTATTCGATGTTGTCATAACAAGTTCCTGAGATCCTGGTCTTGAAGCTGTCAATTTTCCTCATGCGCAAGGTGCAAACTGATGTTTGATAACTCGGGGTGTGCGATAGACTTACCTCCACGCGGTGCACCCTGGGCAACTTATATTCATACGGCAAAAAGTCTATTAACTGGCAGTTAACTTCTCACTTCAAACTACCATCACCTCACTCGATGCCATATTCGAATATTTCCACAGTACTCACCTCACTTTTTCTACCGTTGTGTTTGTCTCTTACATCTTTAGAACACTTTTCTGTCCCTCCCTCTCGAATTTTTTCAATTTGATGTTCCTTCCCCCCCCCCCTGTGAAGCCTGAAGTCAACTAAAGGGCTAATGATAACCATCAAGACGCCTGTCATTTGATATAAATAAATGTTTGATAACTCCCTAAGTTTTTGACCTTAGTTTGAGTACTACTGTGTATGATTTTTTTGGAGGGGGGGGGGATTGGTTATATTTCTTTAAGTCATCATAATCATGGACAAATTGAAATGATTGACTCATGTTGAACACCAGAGTAAATTGCATTTTCAAAATTTAATTGGCTTAGATTTTTGACAACTTTCCAATTTTCAAAACTGTTACATACTAAGGTTATTAGGCTGCCGAAATGATGAATAAAAATGGGTAATATTACCAATTGCATTGTGATTTACTTAAACTAAGCAAGTGGACGTTACAAAATATGAAATTAATTGAGATTTAATTAAAATTCTCTCATAATGTTCATGATCAACGCATTTACTTACTTCCTCGTTTTAAGATATCATTATTAAATTTATTTCCAATATTAATACATAATACCTATTATTATAATCCAATTTTATGTGCTCTTGATTAGGTCAATTCCTGGTTGAGGTATGGCAGATTCTCCAACTTCTAGCTAGACTCCCAGAATAAGCTAAGCTATAGCCCAGC